CCTAGTGGTTAAAGTGTTGGCTTGTGACGCCGAAGACCCGGGTTCGAATCCCCACATGGTGTCCCCCCGCTGTGATGTTGCTGGAATATTGCTAAAAGCGGCATAAAACCAAACTCATTGAGTGTCAGGTTACGATTAGTCCCAAGCAACTTTCGCTGGTCGTACCGGATGGATCCGCGGTTGGCTCAGTAATTTCGTTCACTGCATGTCATCGTACATTCTCTTCCCACAGAATTTACTTGTCATATCTTCCTACAAACCTCTGTTCCAATATGGCCATTTCATGGTGCGAGTGTTCAGGATTCGTGATTGGTTGCAATCAGATTTAGTTGTGCAATCAGCGACGTTGTTTCAAAAGTGATCATTCGCAAGGCCTCGGTAATTTCCGTATGCTTCAGGGAAAACTAGAACCTCTTCCCCTGCGCGATGCGCAAACGTTTCCTCTAGACAGAACTCAGCATTAATGGCGTCTCCATCACCATCGTCGACAACGGACAAGCTAGCCATGTCTTGTGTGTCACATCAACACAAGTCCCCGGCAGAGGAGGGATATTTGTGGCCCCACATTTGCTTGTATTAGTCAAGTTGGATCTAAGTCGATATATAACACGTGTTCTGATTGGATAGAAAGAAGGGAGATAATTCGTGTTGTGATTTTTTGCCGCTAGGTGATTTTACGAGTTCCAGGAAATGTGGCCGTATTAGAACAGAGGTTCGTAGGAAGATATGACAAGTAACCTCTGTGGGACGAGAATGGTCATCGTACCCCAACGATGCATAATGCACACTATCATTGACTGGACTGACTGTACATACCCACATTAAGCTGGACTATTGCCGCTGAACTTCTGCAAACAAACAGGAGCAGTGGGGTAGTGGTTAATCCGTTTGCTGGTCATGTCAAAGACCTGGGTTCGATTCCCCGCATGGGCACAATGTGTGAAGCCCATGTCTGGTGTCCCCACCATGATATTGCTGGAATATTGCTAAAAACGGCATAGAACTAAACCAACCCATCACTCATTGCAAACAAACAACAACGGTTGCACTTGTGCACTTGTTTATTGAATGATATCTACACACATCAAATGCACTTGACTTATAAGTACACTATGCTACATATTGCAGAACCCATCGAGCATTTACAGCTTCACTTAAAGCTCGGACTTATCTTAAGGATGCTATTTACAATGCAATATACAGCTGAGTATATACATATAAGATAGAAGTGTACAATTATCCAGTAACCATGGCAACTGGATAGTTTAGCATATACGCTCAAGTTTTCTTGAATTGAGGTGTGAAGACTCCTTGTCTTGCCAACTCGGGAGTAAGTAGGAAGTGTCAGTCAGAAAGAGTCTAATTCCTGGTCATCTCAAACTTACTTTATAGTCCAAAAAGCTAAATATGTATTTAAATCTTACCTATTAAGTCGGATAATGACATTGTACATCTGACAGTAATATGGTTGAGTGTGTAGTGTGGATCCTTGGACAAACCTAATTATTTCTCTGGGAGCAGATCAACAAATGTCTGCAGCAAGACAACTCCTAAGCCAATGTTAAACTACAAGAGTTACCATTGGCCATAACTACAAACGCTTTGTAGATCAAGGGCCTGGGCCCCATTTCACAAAGTGATCTTAGCCTTAAGACAATCGTAACTCCCACGCTTTAACATAAACTTACGACAGTTGTAGTGCTATGATAGCACAGTGCACCTTCAGGTGACAAAATATAACCATTAACCTGTTACCATGGCACCTTGATACCTTCATAATTGAAGTTTGATTGTTTCAAATTTATAGCAGATGTCTTTGATGGTGAAATGAGGTCACTGTACTCCAAGCATTATCACAGTGGATGCTAGGTCATCACATCTCGAGCAGAGCCCACATGCATGAAAAGATTTTAGTGGTATGACTCTCATAATTAAACACTGACGTTAAATACCGGTATGTGCCCTTGTCACCAGTTTTTCATACACCCCAGAAGGTTAGGTGGGGGTGGCAGGGGATTAGTGGTTAAAGCGCTGGCTCAACCCACAAATACTAGAATCGGACCCGGTAATCCCGATTACTAACAGTTACATGGGCACAATGTGTGAAGCCTATTTCTGGTGTCCCCCCTCCGTGATATTGCTGGAATATTGCTAAAAGCGGAGTAAAACTAAACTCAGTCGATGTATATTACCTCATTTTACAAAGCCATCTTACACTGTCGTAATGCCTATACTGTAACCAAGAATTTGACAGATGTAGCACGACAATTGCCCAGTAAAACAGGCCCACACTATCATATATGTTACGATTCTGAAGAACATTCAGCCAATCACATAAGTTGAAATAACAATCACTGTCATGTGAGCATGGAGCACAATATCACTGTCCATGCATATTATTTGGAAACAATTAACAATTTCCACTATAATATATATCAACACCCAAAGGTCAAGGTTAGAGGTTGGCCTTTCCCTTCAGTCGAAGACGAACAAGTTTAAACAATAACGCCTTGAACAGTCTCGCTGTAACACGCGCTCTATTTCACACAGTTTCTGCAACATCATACAAAAATAGGAGGCATCATGCACCTTAATCTTTCATAACAAAATAATTCACAATACCGTATTTCCTCTATTAGACATCGAGTTATCAATACATGAATGACACTGTGTCAAATGCTCTGTAACAGAAATGGCAGCCAGTCCACTATTAGATGCTAGGTCCATCATTTGTTGATATTAATGAATGCCTAAGACAACAATTTCCTATTTCATGCGGGGCGGTGGGGTAGCCTTGTGGTTAAAGCGTTCGCTCATCACGCCGTAGACACAGGTTTGATTCCCCACATGGGTACAATGAGTGAAGCCCATTTCTGGTGTCCCCCGCCGTGATATAGCTGGAATATTGCTAAAAGCGTCGTAAAGCTAAACTCACTCAATATTTTATCCAATGGTATGTTGATCAATATTAATGAATCATACCCATTGTCGACCAGAGCGTAGAATTCGGGATATCGTAAGGCATGGAGCTGATACTGTGCCAGCAGTAAACAGAATACACACCTGACCTCTAATACACGCCAGGTCAACGCCTTGTGCAAAATTAACAGACACCCATCGTGTACACTGCCTCTAAATGACACTGTGAAAGAAATGGTGGCAAGGCCACTGTAAGATGCCAGGACCATCATTTGTTGAAATTAACAAATGCCCAAAATAACAATTTCCTATCTCATCTTACGATATGTCGAGAGTTTCCTGGAAATGTAGAAATTTGTAGAATTTGGGATTTCGTAAGGTACTGAGTTGTCAGAATACAGAATAGACGCCAGACACAAGACAGCAGGTCGACACACGGACACCTAACTGAGGAAATACAGTACTCCACAACATGTTGCATCTCTGATTTCATAGACTTTGTTAAATCGTACAGCTGTCATGGAACTCACAGATTTCATCATGATATCTGGACGATCAGTTTCTGATATCCCAAATTTATTATCTACATGTTAAAACCATCTCAGGTGCATCAAAATTTGATAATTACGAGCTCCAGATTTTTCAAGCCATCAAGTATTTACTTGCATGTTACCACTAATGTCGGATTGTGATAGTTTGGGAGGGGAGGGGGGAGAGGTGGTGGGGAGAGGTGGTGGTGGTGGTGGTGGTGGTGTGTGGTGTGGTGTGGTGTGGTGTGGTGTGGTGTGGTGTGGTGGTGGTGGTGGTGGTGGTGATGGTGGTCATTCCCCTGGATGCAGTGGGTTTAAAAACTAAAAAATAAAAACAAAACAGGGAGGTGTATCTATACTGAAAAGGATACATTCCCAGATAGCATTCAAACATTGGCCCAACGTTGGCAATGTTGGCAAAACCATTGCCAACGTTGGGCCAACGTCTGAACGCTATCTGGGTTGTAGTTGTTAACTGTTTCTTATATTTCTAGCAGTTTGGAAAGGGGATGTTGCTCACTGGAGAGGAAGTTAACCTACACCGTGAATTTAAGTAAAAAAATTCACTAGTTTACAAGCATGAGTTCAACAGTTCAAGACAAACCACATGTACTATTGACAATAGTTAGTTAGGGTGACACAGAAATGTCACAATGCACATCACGATACACAGGTAATGATACACTATGTATCATGATACATTGGTAATGTTGCAATACATATCACAATGTGCCATTGCAGCTATTTTAGCAGTAAACTTGCATCCCTGATTACAGTGAGTGAGTTTAGTTTAACGCCGCACTCAGCATTATTCCAGCTATATGGCGGCGGTCTGTAAATAATTGAGTTTGGACCAGACAATCCAGTGATCAACAGCATGAGCATCGATCTGCGCAACTGGGAACCGAAAGACATGTGTCAACCAAGTCAGTGAGCCTGACCACCCGATCCTGTTAGTTGCCTCTTACGACAAGCATGGGTTACTGAAGATCAATATCAACGGTCAACCCTGATTACAATTCATTTTACAGTATTGTACTGACAAATTTGGGATGGGAGTGTCATTGTACAAGTAGAAAGTATTTTAGCAATAGTATCAATACCCAAAATATGCATTGTGTGTCATATGAAAAGTGAGTGACCTGCACTCATGTATTGTTTCATCCCTAATCGTTCCAGTTATCGCTGGAGTGATCTGTCTCATGAAGTATTACCCACTGAACGTTTGCATACATCAGTAATATTCCATTAGGGAAGAAGTATCTAATGATAGAAGGAACCTGCTTCAGGTTATCTACAGACAACGTATCATGACGCCACTCCCACAGGTTAATTAGCATATCATGTGACCTGCCCTTTTTCTTGTGTGTAAACAAACATGGTTATTCTAAACTCAGAACATGTTGGCCTAATGTAAGCTTTTCAGTGCACTCAACATATTGCATAATTACATAGACATGTCACTACAACTGTGACAGTGTGGTACATGATATAGATTTAAATGTCAAAGTGACCATATGTCTAGCTCCTAAATAGTTCTTCATGTTTTTGAATAGTTTCTTGATGATAGTTAACCTATCTATCACATCTGTAGATGTAAAGACTTGTAAAAAATGAAACAGATAAGGACCGTGTAAGATTTGTCTCTTCAGAGTTATCTTTCCTTGGTAATAGTACTAGACTATTTTCATCTCCATGCCCGTTTGCGCTTAGACAGGGCTCAGTCGTAAACATGGCCACGAGAGGGGTACGAGACTCCATCCGGCTTGCCGGAATGACACAAGTAGTTACGAATGGGAAGAGAGTGGCTACAGCCTTCTGAAAGTAGTTCCTGCTCAGTCATAAACATGGCCACGAGAGGGGTACGAGACTCCATCCGGCTTGCCGGAATGACACAAGTAGTTACAAATGGGAAGAGAGTAGCTACAGCCTTCTGAAAGTAGTTCCTGCTCAGTCGTAAACATGGCCACGAGAGGGGTACGAGACTCCATCCGGCTTGCCGGAATGACACAAGTAGTTACAAATGGGAAGAGAGTGGCTACAGCCTTCTGAAAGTAGTTCCTGCTCAGTCGTAAACATGGCCACGAGAGGGGTACGAGACTCCATCCGGCTTGCCGGAATGACACAAGTAGTTACGAATGGGAAGAGAGTGGCTACAGCCTTCTGAAAGTAGTTCCTGCTCAGTCGTAAACATGGCCACGAGAGGGGTACGAGACTCCATCCGGCTTGCCGGAATGACACAAGTAGTTACGAATTGAAGAGAGTAGCTACAGCCTCCTGAAAGTAGTTCCTGCCCAGTGATCTCACTGGCATGTTCTCAGAACATAACACCATTATCCCATGTGGTAGAGGGGGATATCGAGCACAGAACATAACACCATTATCCCATGTGTTAGAGGGGCATATTGAGCACAGTGTCTGGCAAGGTAACTTTCTTCACAATCTACATGAGAACAAAGTCTTTCACCTGTGACACTACCTGGCTGAAATAATATCCATATGGTGTCAAATTTGAACTCACTCACCTTCCCTCCAGCACTGAAACCCAATACAACAGTGATGCTTTCTCTGCTATAGAAGCCTTTTCATACCATTGACTGACAACTACTACTCTCAGAAGGTAAGACTGAAAACACTGTCATCTAGTCTTAAAACTGATTCCTGTGGACAACTATCATCACAATAACTGTCAAATATATTCTTATCAATCATTTCAGAAAAAATATTGATTTACCTTAGTTGCTGATTTAGCAATAAGGGACACCAAGGGATAACCTTGGTGGATACAGCAAGAAAATATCTGTGTCATCTTAAATAGTATCACTAAAAAATGCAACTGATTGTCAGACAGATCTTAACTGAGGGAAGTTCAAGACTACAATCCATTACATTCTAAAACAAAGGCTGATTGTTTTTCTCATTCTCAACATCCCTAATCCAGAGTATTTTCCCTTCCATCCAGCCCTACTGTAACGCTATAGCTCTAAATGAAGCAGGTCTAGATTTTCCAGTCTCTCTCAAAGTTCTGAAAAAAAACTGATCCATTACGTTTCCCCTACCACCCAGCCCAACTGTAACGCTGTAACCCTAAATGAAGCAAGCACTGACTTTCCACTGCCTTATAAAACCCTGAACCATTACGTTTTCCCTTCCACTCATCCCTACTGTAACGCTATTGTCCTAAATGAAGTACGTCTAGATTTTACACCGTCTCACTCAAAGTCACTGAGCCATATCATATACCTTCTGTAAATCCCTTACTGTAATAAAGGAAGTCAAGTTTTTCCACAGTCCCTTTCCAGGAACCAATTTCAAAGTAGTTGCTTGTTTTTATAAAAATCCAGTATTTTTACAGACTGTGTTTGTCTAGCTGGCTATGAATCGAAAAGGTTCCCGTGAGCGGATTCAGATCGAGATATCAATCCAAAGACAACTTGTAATGATATTAACTTTCTTGTACAGTAACGAAAATGGGAGAAAATTAAGACACTGAACTACCCATCTACAAAAACGTAAAATTAGTTAATCTAAATACATCTTTCTGAAATATCAACAGTCTTGACATCAAGGATCCCTGTCAAACTGAAAATGAGATCTTTGTACGTTATTTCACAGCCTGGTACATCAAAATTGCACAATACTTTATGAAGTCACAGCAGAGTACCATTCAATCAGCGTGTGACCACTTGAGGCGGCATGTTTATGTGGAATCAACAATTATCACATAAATCATGTTGAGTTACTGAACACTGATAAGCTTATGTTTGTTATCCACTTATCTAAAACACATTCTATGTTAGCAGGGTCACTTTTTTCCTCATAAAAAAAATAGAAATATCTTATATACCTTAAATTTTAATACATATCCTGCATTACATATTTCACAGGTAATAAAAAGGAATGCAGTTTGTAAAATAGGATAAGAAAAAGATTTATACATGTGGAACAATATTACAATTTTTTAGAATAATGTTTCCGTGGGTTTCAAATTCAGACATGCATTTTATTATTCAAATAAATTTGAAGTAGGTAGACATAGGGGTTAACCCTTTTTCCCTTAAATATATTTTCATGTTTTATATTTTGATTTTACCAGAATGACAATGTTATCAAATCTCCTTAGTTGTGGAACCTTAATTTCTATTTTTTGGATTGTCCAGTGTATTTATAAAGAATAATTATTTTTAACAAGGAAGTCAGACGTACATGAGTGAATGTTACGCACAGCTTACAGAAACAACATAACCAATACAGACGAAACCTGTACAGTTTCAATAACAGACATGGGTTACCATGGAAACATGAACACAAGTAGTAACAAGATTATCAACAATGGAGTACTACATGAATCCGCGACTGCCCCTGCAGCTGTGAGCCTGCACAGGTGACGTACACACATATCGGCATACAGCGTAATAATGCACACAAATAAGGATGTACTTACATAATGGCGTACACATATAAAATAACAACTGAAGTATATCACAGTCTGTATGGATCTCTCCATGTATGTCAGTCGAATGTTTCCCATGTGCCACTTTTCTGGGCTTCCGTTTGTTGGCTGTTTGTCGGTTTAGTGATCTGTGGACCAATACTCAACCTAACTAGGTTATTCAGGTCACCAATGTCACCAAAAGGGTCCTTTTTGGGAGGCGGAGGTGGACTCACTGCCTGGGATGAACTGTTCGTTGTCATGCCAACATACAACGGATTAGACACCCTGGGGTCTTTGTAAAGAGGACTTGAACAAACTGTTGGTTGTCCCAGTTTGGCCGCAATCGGTGGTGGCTGGTTCCTCATGGACTGTGGCATTGTCATGTTGTAAGCAGGGTTGGACATGGAGCTTTGTTGGGGTCTTGGGGGGGGACTGACCATCGGGGAGCTTGCCAGTTGGCTGAATGACCAGTCTTGTAATAATGATGGAGATTTGGGGCTAGTGGGTTTGGACAGACTGGACAAAGCTGGGTCAAGTGATTTATTGAAACCAGCAAGAGGGTCAAATAGTAACTTGGGGTCTTCAGCTTCTGAATTTTCAGGTGAATTGTCCGGTTTGTAGCAGTTTCGTACAGGTGTCTCTTGACCTGTTTTTCGGAATGCAGGTGACCGATTAATGAGTGAACTTCGGTTAGGTCTTGATCTATCAAACCCTGGAGAACTATTGAAGGAATCATCTGCTAGTGTCGCTTGACTGGCAGGTGACTGGGTGTTACTTACTGCAAACGGGTCAAACACAATCTCAGGCTCGGACTCCGTTGATTCAAACCTTATCAACTGTTCATCATTTGGTTTTGGCTTTGACGGACGTGGTGGAGGACGAGGACCTGAAATTTTTGATGACTTTGACCTAGGGGCAGGAATGGGAGGAGGTCCTTGAATAGCCATACTAGGAGCTCCGTTTGCCCTTCGTATGACAGGAGAGGACCTTGGTAAGGAAGATAACTCTGCCTGAGTATCGTCTGTGGCATTTGGCACAGGGCCTGAGTCCAGGCCAATGTATGGTATCCCAGATTCCTCTGCAGGTGTCTGTGAGCCACTAGAGGGAGTCTCCGCTGACGAGTCATCACTGGCTGGCTGAAGAGGAAAAATAACAATTATAAGCAGTTGAGACACTAAGTATGGATTTGATATGGATGAACAGCTTGCTTTTTTTGTTTAACACCGCCCTCAGCAAGTTTCCAGCTATATGGTCCAGCAGGCTGTAAATAGAGTCTGGACCACACAATCCAGTGACCAACATCAACAGCATCGATCTACACAAATGGGATAAAATGACATGTGTCACCAAGTCAGCAAGCCTGACCACCTGATCCTATTTGTCGCCTCTTACGACAAGCATGGGTTGGTGAATACCAATTCTAAACTGGATCTTCATGGGTTGAACAACTTCTTTAAAACAATTAAGCAAGTTCTTCGATAACAGAGTTGGGACCTAAACCCAAACATTCTTCCTAATTGCAAAACATCAAGTTGTTCATCCATATTTCATATCCATACTTATTCAAGTGAAAGCATCGTACAACAAAGCATGTATCAGTGAATTTGAAACTGTAAGGAAGGGCTGGGTAGTTTAGTAAGAGATGCAGTAAGTGGAAGACAGCAGGCCGCATGACTGTGTTAGTACACTGAGTGAGTGAGAATGGTTTTATGCCACAATATTCCAGCAATATCATAGTGGGGACACCAGAAATGGGCTTCACACATTGTACCCATGTGGGGAATGAAACCCAGTCTTTCAGCGTGATGAGCGAACGCTTTACCCACTAGGCTATCCCATCGCCCCTGTTAGTACACTGACATTGTAGATGGAGAAACCCCTTGGCTTCAGACTTCAGCACATTTTTGATTCAAAGATTCAGAATTTGCTGTGTGAATTTACCAATCTGATGACATAGTACGCACCCAGATATGATTTACATAAAATAATGCATAGAACCAAGCCATCATTATGAATTACATACATTTCATTTACTGAAAATTTATATACAAAACAGAAATTTGAAAATATGTTGTTTTTAAGAATATTCCAACATGCAACAACAGACATTGGCTAATATACAGCAGCGATGCAGGGAATGCAGGCCAGCTAAATGTCAGTAAGGGAAGATAACTCTAAACCCCTCACCCTTAAGCTACACCCGCACCAATACCACCTACACAGTTATGCCTAATATTGATATTTGAGAACAGGAGTGAGTGAGTGAGTGAGTGAGTGAGTTTTTTAACACCACCTTTAGCCATATTCCACCAATATCACGACAGGGAACATCAGATATGGGCTTCACACATTGTACCCATTTGAGGATATCAATCCTGGGTCTTTGGCAGCACTTTAACCGAGTTGATTACCAAACTACCCCCTTGAGCACAGGAAGTGTGAGGATCCATGTGCCCAAATAGGGGAGATAACTCACAGACATGTAAAGAAAAATTCCATACTGACAACATACTTTCAAAATAGCTCCTAAATCCACAGTGTTCTAAAGCAATTATGAACACAAGACATTTTGCAAAGAGATGCAAATAGGCATTTACATCGCCACATCCCGACCCCCAACTCCCAATCACCATGACAACAACCGCCACCTCCGAAAAGACAAGTTTACCACAACCTGCATTAAGCATACTGTTCTCATTGAAAAAGTCAGCAAATCTTTTCCCCAAATTAACAAGAAATAAACTTTCTCAACTTTACTTTCTCTAATAATGGGAGAAACTACCTGATGTAAAAGAAAAAATAAAAGCAAAAAAAGGTTTTCACGCAAAATTGTGATTTGCCTCTTTTGTCAAAGGGTTAGACAAATGTCAGTATTATTTATACTTGAGCCAGACCAATTTTGTTTGTTTTACATCTGAACCTATCTTAATTTTTGAAAAAGAAAAAAGATGATGTAAAAGATAAAAAATTGCAGTGTTTACAGAAAATGCTTAAACTGACTATTATACTACTCAACACTTGCTACGGTACAAATTATCCCTGATCACAGGTGGACCTTATCAAATACTGAGCTGAATATTCTACCCTCTGCGTCATGGGTTTCCGTGGTATTAAGAAATTTACGACTATGAACATGATCGCTCATATTGCCAAGTCATATAAACATAATATAGTGTTAGAACGACATACCTTTGTATCATTTAATGTCAATAAAACACTTTTGTCATTCTGAAGTTCATTGTTGTCCGTATCAGACGACAGGTGGCCATTGTGCACAAACTCTGGTGACGTCATATGTTTCCGTGGTATTTCCTTCAGATCAAATTACGGGCGCACAGCACATGTCACAATCTCACACGTTGTCAACAGCCAATCCGGGAGTGTCAATGTAGGTTTACAGTAATATCGAAGTTGATAAATTGTAATACAGTAAACGATTTTGTAGAATTAACACACTAGTCACATTTCTTCAGCATGAATTTCCAGTTCATAAAATATGTAGAGTTGATACAGGATACATGAAATGAAAAGTGAAGAAACAACTTAAGAGATGACCCTGTCGGGCTTCTATAGTTTAAGAAATAGAGCTGGGATTCCCCCCTTAGGTCACGTGATTGTTTTATTGATGACATCAGCTAGCAGACGAGCGATGTTTAGAAACCCTGAAGCTGAGTAAGTTTATAGAAAATGTTTGCAAAAATCGCGCAAAAAATGCATTACATGCTAGACATAAAGTTGCATTAGTTTTTAATAGTAGATGACTGTTCGTACGCAAATTGATGAAAGTTCAGACCGGTGCCGATCAACTGATGAACGTAAACAATCGATAGGTGGCACGATTTGGCGAGTGGCTCGTGAGAAATTATATCATTAGAAAATACCACGGAAACGTAAGTACCACGGAATCATATGACGGCATGGTATAGATGTTTTCGTTTGCATTTTTCCCATTTTATCCAGGACATTGAAACCAGCCTGATATGTAATCTCCTAATTACCATCTCAGTTGTTCCGTTATTAATTTAATAATCATGCAAAATAAAATCTCAAATCAACCAGATATGTTCTTATTTTCCCGTCCAACCTCCAGGTCAGGACATTCAGGTCACGCAGATTAGTAAAACAAACAAAAGGATGTTGGTCTGGCCGCTGAGTACATAACGGTATCATGCAGGGCTGGTAACTGATGGGAGAGAGATACGTAAGACCAAACTATACAGTGTTCAGTCTTATGTATCGAGTAATCACGTGTTTGACCTCTCCACAGAGTTCGGAGGTGGGAGATCGTTGGTATGCCTGCTGTATATCAGGGTCGGACAGGAGGCTGCAGCTTACACGCTGGTATGTCGACATCAGGTCATCGTCTGTCGTAGAATCGTCTTCAGGGACGTCCAGCACCTTGTACGTCGTTGTTGGCCTGAAATGACGAGTGAGTGAGTATGGTTTTATGCCGCTTTTAGCAATATTCCAGCAATATCACGGCAGGGGACACCAGAAATGGGCTTCACACATTGTAACCACAGGGGTGAATCGAACCGGGTCTCTTTGGCCGTGACGAGCAAGTGACACTTTAACCACTAGGCTACCCCATCACCCCGACATGAAGACAGAAGTGTGCTCTACCCCAACATATAGTGTAATTGGGAATAGTTCTGCCCTGAACTATTATATCTAAAGTATGAGGACACTTTGATCCTTCAGAAAAGAATCTCAGAAACAAAAGTCTGGGGATATTTAGGCTGAAAGGAAACTGCGAGAACACATGCAATAATATGAAAATGCATTAGAAATTTTCTACAAAATATTGTTTCACTGTAAAGTTTGCAATTCTTTATGAGTTTTCTGTTCCCATGGACAAACACTGATGCACAAATATTAGTTCTATATTGGGTAGTATGAATGGACAAAATATTTTCATACTGATGCAGATACAAGCCCTATTCAAAGAAAATACAATCAGTGCTCTGTAGACAAACTTTATGGAAAACAACTTCTTTATTTTATGAGTGCGACATTTCGATACATTATTCTTGTACCAGTTGTAGACAAACTTTATGGAAAACAACTTCTTTACTTCAAGCTGGAATGTAAACATGATGTACAGATGGCTTCTACGCCTTTCCCTTTGTCAACTTACTGGCTTTATCAGCTTACTGCCTAGCCATTTATATTAATTATGTTTATTTCTTTGTTACACTTAGTATATTTACTATGCCTCCACTTCATGTTTATGAGGGGTGGTGGGGTAGCCTAGTGGTTAAAGTGTTTGCTCATCACGTCGAAGACCCGGGTTCAATTCCCCATGTGGGTACAATGTGTGAAGACCATTTCTGGAGTCCCCCGCCGTGATATTGCTGGAAGATCGCTAAAAGCGGCGTAAAACCATACTCACTCATGTTTACGAAATGTTGCACTGATGAAATAAACAAGTTGTTATCCATAATCTTTGGCTATATTGTACTTCCCAACTTCTAAAATGTCCCTCAAGGAAGTTATAATCAGTGCTGCTATTTGATACTGATTCACAATGATCATTGTAGTGAGTAAGTGACTGCTATAATCAGTATTTCAGTTACAAAACAATGTTTCAGCTTCGTGGAAAGTTCTCGATGAAATGCATGTATTGGATGCTAACCCGTTCAGTGAAACCCACAATCATGAGTATGGTGCTGACAAACTTAGTAATATCAACAGCACTAACCATGATTCAAACTCAGGATCTTCGGTTCATGGTACACCTAAGGGCCACAACTCTGCCCAATGAATTTTAAACCATTTTTGAACAAGGTTACTTGTGACCCAAAATTAAACCAAGAGTCATCATAGCATGATACATGTGGTCTTATGTTCTAATCTCATGTTACCTATCCAATGTTCTTGATCTGAGATTAGCAGCTGATATCTGGGGAGGCCTTGGAGGCTGAAGCAAAGAAGGAACAACAGATGAAGGCATCGCTGGAAAATTAGGTGAAAAATGTAACAAAATTAGATTTGTATGATTTTAAAATATAATCTACAAAAATGTACAAAGTATACAAACATTAATTCAGAAATTAGGTTTCCCTTAATAATTGATTGACAAAATGTCTAAAAAAAGGAAGTGACATTTGTCTCAAATTGTTATCTCCCCTGTATCCATGACAACAAAATGGCAGCAACTGATTAAGCTGAGTAATATTTTTTAACCAGGTATGTACAAAATAGTATCTACAGGTTCAATCAGATTATATTACTGTCAACACTTTAGCATATCATAGACAGATACATGTATTGCAAATTATTACAGTAAATTAGCCTACCCTCGAGCCCTTTATGGTGGGGCCAATGATAGTGGCAGGTCTCTGTCGGTCTGGTGTGCGCTGAGATCCTACGCGGAGACCCTTTGAGCTCTTTGTGCTCTCGTTAATCTGCCACATTAGAATGTGCTAATTGAGACACTCAAATATAAGGAAAATATAATTAGCACACATTTTTCAGAGAAGTGAATTCTAGTCAGAATACCTTCCTCACATCATATCAGCTTGAAATATACAAAAATTAAATAGATATAATGTTTGAATTTGAACGAGGCCATTCAGTAAAAGACTTGTACTATTTCTATAAAGTAAGGAGAATCTTAAAATTCTGACATATAACATAAAAGAAAAATACACAACCCCTGAAAAAAGGTGTTCACTGCCCAAAATGTGTTTGGTTTTACTGCATGTTAACAAAGAGAGTCAGGAACCAAATCACCAACACTAAAAGTTGGTGATCGTAACTAACTCAGACACCAAGGCTTCCAGAGTGAGTGAGTGAGTTTAGTTTTATGCCGCACTCAGCAATATTCCAACTATATGGCAGCGGTCTGTAAATAATCGAGTCTGGACCAGACAATCCAGGGATCAACAACATGAACATCGATCTACGCAATTTGGAGACGATGACATGTGTCAAACAAGTCAGCTAGTCTGACCACCCGATGCCGTTAGTCGCCTCTTACGACAAGCATGGGTTGCTGAAGACAAATTCTAACCCGGATGTTTACGGGTGTCAAGACTCCCATGGTGGAATGATCCAAATATAAAATGAAAATCACTAAGAACTAAGCATACAGAACCGTAACCTAAGTTCGTGGATAACCTTGATTCGTGGATCGTGCAAATTATGATGCTAGCTCGTAACTTCAGTCTCAACTGATGTCAGGAACAGTACTTTTGATGTATATACAATGCCACGCCTAGCTGACAAAAAAGTTCCGAATCTCTGCATTACACGCAAGTACACTAAATATATTTGTCCAGCATTGAGATAAATAGCGCCAGATCACTAATACCACCATTACCAAATTTTATTTTTACAAAATGTCAAGTAAAAAAGATACCGCTAGCTCCAACCTTCTCACTGTCTGCTTTCTTTGGTGTCAATACTTACTGCAGTGGGATGTCGTACATAGTGGTATAAAGTAACCGACTACGTAATCCACAAAACAAGGTGACATCACATTTTGTGGGCACACGAATGGGTGATGATTGCAAATGACTTTCGTAAACAAACATTTCATTCACGAGTGGAATATTTGGCATTTTCAATTTGCTGAATTAATGAATAAAATATTCAGTGCGTATACAAAATGAAATCATGCATTTAAAATATGAATTTTGCCGCACTTCCCTTATATCCACGAATCAAGGTTATGCGAGTGTAAGTCATTTACTAACCAATCTACACGCTGCTGCAGCACTAACCTCATTTAATCTCGCCTTGATACCAGACACAGCCTTCTTTCCTTGGTGCTTCATCTGAAGAATACACACAATATCTAAATAACTGACAAATATGTATCTGGTGGTCAGGGCAACCAGAATATGAAACTAGTCTTGGAACATTTCTTTCCATTCAATGCCTTAGAGGACCCTCAAGGGGTTCAATGTTCCACCAAAATGGCGGACCTGGGAAGTAGGATTCCAAACTGAAGACAAAGTTTATTATGCTGATCTATCTAAGTTTTACACTACAACGTTTATCCGACTTATGCCCCAGAAGTTTGGATGTGTCTTGTCAAGGTCAGTGACATCCTCTACGTGGTAGGAAATGCCTAGCACCAAGATATATGCCATTTCAAACAGTATGGAACATTAAAGTTAATTGTACACATATACTCATTTTACTATGTGTGTCAGAGAAATTTCGATTCCTTAATGCTGATCTAAGTTATTTCAGGTATTTTCATACATGCATTCAAAAGGAAACTTGCTGTAAAACATCACATACATAGCCCTATTAAACACAAATACTTAATTTTGTCATTCTGTAACCATGGTTACTGGATCAGTGGTCATAACTAATCAGTCAGCTGTATAATTAGTGAGTGAGTATGTGTTTAATGCAGCTTATAGCAGTAATCCTGGAAAAGCATGGTGTATATCACACACTCTAACCATTTGGGAAATAGAAACTGTCCCATAGTTAGACACGCTTTTACCATAAGACTACCCCCACCACCTTGTGTAATTAATGAGTTTGTTTTTTGTATGCTTATCGCACACTATACCCATATAGGGAATCAAACCTTGTCTTCAGTGTGACAAGCAAACACTTTAACCACTAGACTACCCCACCACCCTGTGTCATTAATGAGAATAAACAGCTGTGAACAGATAAACAGATAGATATAGAAAGGTAGAATGTGCATATTTAACATTTCTAATTTCGTTTTCTCCCCAAGTTGATATTTTCTTGGTGTTTGTCAAATCTGACAACTGTTCCAAAATTGTACCCATGTGGGGAATTGAACCCTGGCTTTCAGCGTGACGAGCCAACGCTTTAACCACTAGGCTACCTAGCCGCCCTGTTCCAAACATAGTTTCTGGCATCAAGCACGGTGGGACAAACATGACAAGAATGAACCTTCCTGTCATAAAAATGTAAATTGGTAAAACGTAGAAGGCCAGACAGTTACGCTGAGAAAAAACAGGAATATGTCAACACTATTTAACTAAATGACCTTTTGCAGAAATAACACAAAAGTTTCATTGCCACTGATAAATGCTATAATTCACAGTATCCACTGTCCAGTTTTCACTCATGGGGATCTGATGTGTAACAACTGATGGCAGTTGTTTGGCAACACATTTGGCAAAGGTGAAAAACATTGATTAAATCAGAATCCCTTGGATTTGTTATTCACAATGTCATAAAACTCAGACGTTTTATTTCCATACAGTACCTTGGCATGATGGGATCAGACGACACTACCATAAGAAGTTGTGAAAAGTGAACATTCAAATGAGCCAATCAGCATCAAGGCTTCTAAATTGTCAGTTTGATTGGAAAAGACTTCATACAAAAGTATTTGACATCTGTATTTTGAGTACGAACAAAACAAGTTTTTAAAAAAAAACATTATGTTTATGTTGACACTTTATGACAACAATTTCATTTCCTGAGCTCAAATGATATATCTATGTTTTCTTGAGTGAAGTGCACACTCTCCCCCAGTCCCAAAAGCTGTGTTGTGTGGGACATGCCAGTCTTGATGTTTTTCTCTGAGCAAGTAATATACAATGTCATGTTATAATACTCAAAAAGGCTTGTTTTTTTCACAAACAACGAAACCCCTAGAGGGAGGCACATAACGCTGGAATGAATACTATTTACAGGAAAAATGTGTTACAATGAAATAAATGGTTGTGCCCTTAATTAGTCTTCTTTGTTACAATTGAACTTTGCTAAATAAGGCTGTGAAGAAAAGACGCCAAAGAAAGCTGACATCTGATTGGCTGATCACATATCCTTGACTGTTCGCATGATGAAGAGATGTGTTACTCCATCTCAGAGACATACCATTTCCAAGTAAAACGTCTGACTTTAATGAGACTGTTATTTCAATCCCCGTTGCCATGGTTAACTTGAAAACAAAACCAATTGACCAATTTGACTATGGTTGGTTGGTTTGTTGTTTAACACCACACTCAGCAATATTCCAGCTATATGGCGTCGATCTGTAAATGATCGAGTCTGGACAAGACAATCCAGTGATCAACAGCATGAGCATCGATCTGCGCAACTGGGAACCGATGACATGTGTCAACCAAGTCAGTGAGCCTGACCGCCCGATCCCGTTTGTCGCCTCTTACGACAAGCATGGGTTACTGAAGATCAATTCTAACCCGGATCTTCACAGGTTGATTTGACTATGGAGGGACAAGAGAACAAACAAGATCAATACAGTCTGTACAGGACAAAGTAAACACTCACAGGTAAGTACTGACACCACCATCACAGAAACAATATGTACACAACATACATATATCACATATTGATAAAAATATGAAGCATCATTAATTTTGTGGAGGAAGATTTTAAGAAATTGTGATTTTAGTCCCACAAAAATATCCCCCAAAATATTCATGGCACCTTACTTTTTACCTTCAGTATACATACAAATCAAATCTGCAATACTCCATATTCATTTAAGGGATCCACAAAAACTTTCATGATTATAATAACTCATAATTCAAGGCATTTAAAAGGCTCCTGAAATTTTGCAAATACATACCACCAGAAAATGACTTTGATGAAAGTGTAACCTATAGACTAGCCGCCCCCTTTCTACTGACTGCTTTTTGGGGTCCTCAAAATTCAGCTTATCTACAGTCATATACGGTACACTATTATATATTTTTCCATTCAGTTTGTTCCCCACTGCAGCACAATGGAACTACATGGATCTTTTATATACTGTTTTCTTCGAAATCTACAACTAGTTTACAGTCGTGACTATAGATTGAGGTTGGGGCCCGTTTCACACAGCGATCATAGCGCTACGACTGTCGTAAGTCTATGTTAAAGCATGGGAGTTACGATCATCTTAGTGCTTCGACTGTCGTAAGTCTATGTTAAAGTATGGGAGTTACGATCATCTTAGCGTTATGACTGTCGTAGTGAAGTCTATGTTAAAGTATATGAAATGGGGCCCTCATCTTAGAAATATCTGTCGTAAGTCTCAAATGAAATGGGAGTTCGATACCTTAGCACTATCAAGGTGAAATGGGGCCCTGGTTAGAATATCCAAATTACCTCAAATGAAATGATCTATTTTCAAGGTATTCTCAAGCTAGAATCTTATCGAAATCCCTTTTCAAGCCTGTGCTAACTTGGAATATAAGGAAATGTGCAGCAAGTGGTACGGACAGGATGGTGGTTGAATAAAGTGTCATTTCTAGAGGAGGAAGGGAGACGGAAGGGGGAGAAATGGACAGGAGGGGGTGTGTGGGGGTGTGTGTGTGTTTAACTAGCACTAGTACAAGCAGTCAGGTGCAAACTGGACATGTTGCAGTTTTCAATGTTCTCCTACTGTTCCAGCCTAAACCTATTGTTTGTTGCAGGTGTCAGTTATTATTATTTTTATTATTATTATTATGTTATTGTTATTACTATTATTATCATTATTATTGGATATTTATATAGCGCACATATCCACGCACTAGTGCATGCTCAAGGCGCTGACAGATATAGATTTGGGTGCATAAATTCAGAGCATTTCCTCATAGACTCAGCATTCTGTATCCTGCTGAACACCGTAATATACATCATTGTTGTGTCTGCCTTGAAAACCCAGTGCCAGAAACATGGTCTCAGTCCGATGATATTGTCATTCCATTTGTATTATGGATTAAATGACATTTACTAAACACTAAACATGGAAAAAAAGATCAAGTATCTGACATTTATACAAATTTTCAATTATTGGCAAACTGACAAACAGCAAAGACAAAAATTACCCAAACATGAACAAAATAGTAATTACAGAGCTTGTTATTCAAGTCTTGAGGGAGAAAAACACTATTTACCTGCATACTCCTTAACATAAAAATGTAACAATCCCAGGCAAGTCAGACACTAGTATCAGACTCAAAATGCACATGAAAACTAGGATACATTTTCTTTAGGCCATAATACAGAAATGTGTAGATGCTTTTTTACTTTGCTTTTAACAATATTCCAGGAATATCATGGCAGGGGACACCAGAAATGGGCTTTACAGGTAGAGTTTCTTTATACCCCCAAAAGTGTAAGTGAGTGAGTTGGGTTTTACACTGCTTTTCAACAACATTCCAGCAATATCACGGCGGGGGACACCAGAAATGGGCTTCACACATTGTACCCATGTTGGGAATTGAATCCAAGGCTTTAATCACTTGGCTAGTCCATCACATCCAAACCCCAAAAGTAGTTGTGTGGGTAACCTTATAGGGTAAAGTTATGGCATTGATACACAGGGATAATCACTGATGTGGTTCACATGGAGGAAAGTTTGCCAAGACTGTGATTAACAATCCAGTGATTAATGTCATGAGCACTGAGCTGCGCAATTGGAATACAATACAAATCTGACCAACCGATCCTGTTAGTCACATTTACAACAAGCATGGCTTGTTGAAGACCACTGCTAACCATATTTTCAAAGATTATTTCACCAAGTAAAGAAACATGAAACCCCAAAATAGTTTTCTCCATCTGCAGGTACATGGGACAAAACTACCTGGGACAGGTGTTCCATAGTGAAGTGGGCATAGTTATAAATCTAACACTTAAGTTATTATGGCCTAAAACAAACTGTGACGAACATGTCAGTCATACATCAGGCCGGTGTACATATTCCATGCTTCTATCTAAATCTGTCGACAGCAACATAGACATTCATCATCTATAAACTTGCATCCCATTATTTCAGTACAATGTGAGTGAGTGAGTGAGTTTAGTTTTATGCCACACTCAGCAATATTCCAGCTATATGGCGGTCTGTAAGTAATCGAGTCTGGACCAGACAATCCAGTGATCAACAGCATGAGTGAGTGAGTTTAGTTTTACGCCGCACTCAGCAATATTCCATCTAAATGGCGGCGGTCTGTAAATAATCAAGTCTGGACCAGACAATCCAGTGATCAACAGCATGAGCATCGATCAGCAATATTCCATTGGGAACCTGGATGACAATCCAGTGATCACAGCATAAGCATCGATCTGCGCACTTGGGAACCGATGACATGTGTCAACCAAGCCAGCGAGCCTGACCACCCGATCCCATTAGTCGCCTCTTACGACAAGCAGGGGTTACTGAAGGTTCATTCTAACCTGGACCTTCATGCGTATATTTCAGTACAAGAAGTGAGTGAGTTGAGATTAATGCTGCGTGGACAGGTCAGTCATAGTGTCAGCTGGGACGGTACATGTTAAGTTGTGAAACAAGCAACGCTGGTTATAGACGCACATCATGATCTTGGTCGGATTAGGTAATTCTGTACATCGACTGAAGAAGCTTCCCCAGGCAAGGGAGATAACCGACTATAAAATTCAAGTTTCTACTCTTGCCAAACTAGGCTAGAAATTCCCAGATTTATTTTGGCTAGTCAAAAGTCAAATCAAGACAACAACGAATAGCACCTACTGCCTAGATTTCAGTTGACTGCATGATTTGCAATGCATGTGGCCCATCGACTGGGTATTTGTTTCCAACAAAAGACCTGTTTTATTTCAATATAGACTATGCGTACCAATCTGATTGTCTTGGTATGGTGCAACTTGGAGACAGGAAATTCCAGCATAGTTTGTCAAGGTTCGAAACTTTTGTAGTCAGTTATTTGCCTCAGGAAGACAGATTAAGTCCCTTTTAACATTGTCCACATTTTACAACACCAAATATCTCAATTTCTACAAAGGTTTTAAAGCAAAAAATATCTAAATATTAGGGAGAATAACTAATCAGCAGAGGCAAAACCAGGCAAAAATCCCCATTGAATTCATCTAAATCAAAAAAGATTGTACTACGGCGAAAAAATAAAATAATTTAAACCATGACCATCCTGAAAATTAAGGATATTTAAAACCACAGAAGAAAAGGAAACAACTAATCTAAATGGCAAATATGTATCTGATTTTTATAAGATCATTTAATAAATGTTCACATAAACTGTTAAGTGAGTGAGTGAGTTTAGGTTTACGCCGCACAATATTCCAGCTATATGGCGGCTTAACTGTTAAGTACTAAGGTTAGTAAAGGTATGGCTTATATCGATGGTTGTTTTTAAATTGTTGTAGAAATGTGAAGACTAGTTGTCCCATGGCGTTATCTGTGAGACAATAGCAGTTACAGCATTATGTTAATGTTATGTCCTACATGGATGACACTCCTTTGGGGATTACTTCTATCACTTTTACTGTCCCCTGCAAAACCACGCTGACAGTCCAACAAAATAGAATTCATTACATTTTAAATTCATTCTTAACTGTTGGCTTAAATTTGTTGACTGATGTCCAAACTTATGATAAAGATATGTAAATTCATAAAAATCATAAAATTTTTGCATGTACAGATTGATTCTGTGTTCAGCCTCAAACACAATGTAAGTCGGAGGGTATGTTATTAGCCATATTCTGTTATGTAGGATTTGAAGACTGATCAGGGCATATAGCCCATGTCAAATTTATTAAAATATAATCTGATTTCAAAGTCCATGGTCAGATTTATTTTTGAAGTCAGAATTGTCATATTCATACGAAATTTACCTTTTTTAATTTACAATATCTCTATCAATTCTGTTAGGATCAAATCTACCTCAAGATCTACCACAGACAGGAGTTATGAGCCATAGGTGAGTGAGGTGAGTGAGTGAGTATGTTTTTTGCATCTTTAAACAATATTCCTGCCATATCACAGTAAAATATATGCAATGGGCCAACCCAACACTGGCCTTTTATGACATGCCAACAATATGATACAACATGTAATATCATGTACAACTACAAAACGCCGATTTTACATATATTCAGGGGTTCCATAGAGTGCAACATGCAACATACATAATAGATTGATAATTCCTTGTAAAACAATACCTACTGAAAAAGAAATTCTTTAAATAAAGTCTTTGAAAGGCATTTAGAAGCTGGAAGAACATGAATAAATGCCACTTCTTATTCTTTGTGATAACGTTTCAGAGCCACTTCTTGCTCAATCATCAGGTGATGAAACATTAACACAAAGAATAAATGAAGTTGTTGTCCATAAACAGTGTCATGTATTCACATGTATAATGAACATGTTTGGAGAAAGATCCACAAAATTCTATACTTGAGACTTCGGAAGGAAATGAGGAATGTGTAAGGGCATGCTGGTTATGGGCGAGACGTGCAGGTCTGACCATCTTCGATCATCAGGGGCATCGTATCTCCATTCTATCATCATAAAAACCCTGGATCCATTCGCCTCCACAGCTTGACACAAGACTAAAAATACTGTCCAATCAAATTACACTTCCAAATAAGACAAGGAGATACATCACAAGTACTAACTCGCCTAGTTCGTAAGTCAGTTTGATCCTTTGTTGATTTCAAGCACATCGCGAGAATTATTTTGTGCCAAGTTTGTGAGAAAGATTGAGACTGAAGCTATGGTGGTTCTCTGGTCCATGGTATTGATCAGACAGAATTGAGAAACTACCCTTGATCATCGAGGATGGTGTCGGACAGGACATGCAAACTGTCACTTACAGACTGAACAGCAGAATTCATCATAATCGGTGCCTGTTGACAAATAGTCAGTAACATGAGAACAAGCAAAGAGAGAAAGAGTGAGTGAGTGAGCTGGGAATTGAACAGTATTTCAGTTACGTGGCACCAGGCCACTACTGCAGTCAAATATGGCAGGACTCAGCCGTTTACCATGGTAGGGTTCAATACCAAGGATCATCACTGTGATGCATCCAAGAACATCAGATCCTTGCATGGCAAAGGGACACAACTCTGAAAACACCTTTTGACACCACAGCCCAATGGGTCCCACATGTCTCAAGTAGAGTGAGTGAGTCAGTTTAGTTTTAAGCCGCACTCGGCAATATTCCAGCCATATGGCGGCAGTCTGTAAATAATCGAGTCTGGACCAGACAGTCCAGTGATGAACAGCACGATCATCGATTGGGATATGATGACATGTGTCAACGAGTCAGTGAGCCTGACCACCCGATTCCGTTAGTCGTCTCTTACAACAAGCATGGGTTGCTGAAGATCAGTTCTAAACCGGATCTTCACGGGTCGTCTCAAGTAGAGGTAGAAACATAGGACAATGTGCTTTTAAAACACTGCTTGGTTCAGATTACATAAAACCTCTACATACAATTGATGGAACCCTACATTTGAATTGTGGCAATAAATTAAAAATATTTGAAGACTGAACATAGAACAGAAACCAAACAGTTTTTGGCCTATGTAATACCTAAACACACTGAAACAACAAAATGGTGGATGTATGGGGTTTTATACCACAGCCACCATGATCTTAGCCATGTGAGGACTTCAGTGATTGGTCAACCCTGCAAACCAGTGGTTGATAATGTGAGCATCTTTCAACAATCGGTGACTCAAATTAGAGTTGGTCTTCAGTGCCAGCCTGTCAAATTATTATCGATATTTAGTAGCCATTGTGGTCAAACAATCCCCAACTGGGGCAGATCTACCTGAAATTTTAATCAAGTTCAAGAAGGAGAAATAAATGAAATAAATGGATGATAAATAGAAATTATGATCATGATGATGGTAACATGCAAGGGTGTATTGTCTATATTGCATCATATGCGTGTTCCTACAATACTACGAATCAGTAAACAGTCACACTTTATCAACTTCACCTCTATCCTGTTATTAGCAATACTAGATGGTTTTTAAACAAGTTCACTATCACCCATTGTGAATACATATTGTCAAACTGTATTAGAGAGTCATACAATAAAGTCAAGCTATAAAATCTGGTGGTATATAACTCACGGGAATCAAATTGGTCATCTGTGCATAATTTTGTGCAGACTACCAGTACCACTGTCTGACACTGAGAAATACTGATGTGTCCTGAACACTTATTGGTCAGAGTACTCACTGGCTTCCCTCTCAGTTGAACAAGCTACGATTTGATTGGTTGGTAAAAATAGCTACTACACTGCAAAGCGGACGTATGTATTCACGAGTGACGATGATTGTAGTTGGAAACACATGAAGTATCGATGAAGTTGGATGTAAATCGTCAAATTGATGCAAAATTGACTGAACTATAAAATACCTCCAGTAATATGGAGTGGGAATAGTTTTTAATGATTACATACATCAAACAGTAGTTATCATTGTTAATAATACTAAGAAAGATACTATTTCCTATGTAACTGCTGAATAGTTGACAGTGAAGAGGACTTCTGTTGAAAATCTCACATTTCATTGAGTAATACAGATAAAATACAGGTTTTCATCAGTGAGGCAATAGAGGTCAGATATTTGCAGTGAGTATGCTTATTGATAAACTGCCAGGCAAAAGGAAGAATACACTTGAAAACTGTACTTGACAAAACGTTTGAAAGTCTTGTTAAAATATTACTAAGCTGAAAACAGTAGCTGAAAATCAGAAACTTAATATTCAGAACGAGACTATAATACCCCTGTCCAAAACATCACAATAAAAACATTTCTTATCTGTTTCATTTTCTGCCACCAAATATTATGAATCTGGTTATCAAATCTGTAAGGCAGGGGTGGAAATAACTTTAAAATTGCTAGTGTACTCCGGAACAGTAGTACGTGTAAAATCACTTGCCCTGATAATTTTTCCACTATATCGGACGTTTTCCTGTTGATTTTTTTAAATACACACCATACTTAACATTGGAAAGTCAACTGGACACCGGTACAGTGTGATATACAAATTTGCTTGCCTGACAGAAAAAACACTGGACTCGGACGTCGGGCAATGGGTTATTTCCACCCCTGGTGAGGTCTGGCATCTATCCTCATAGAGGCTTCATTACACCCAGATTGTCCTTAATGTATGTGTTAGTTAGAACTGGTAGTACAACTCGGGTTAGTTTGAGGGTCAAGGGGTGGCACTCAGTGGGGTTGATATACAGACAGCAGCAGTAATTACCCTCTCTCTCACGTCGGACAGGACTTCCTTCCCACTCTTATGAAACTTCTTCCCTTGTCTCTGGCAAACAAACATAACAAGAGGTTAGGTGACTCAGTTATCAAAGATATCACATAATCATTCTATAACAACTGTAGGTACGCAGGAGCACAATAATTCCATGTCAGCCATGTTGTGTGGTTTACCTGACAAGGTATGTACTATTCGTTGTTGTGAGTGAGTGAGTTCAGTTTTACGCTGCTTTTAGCAATATTCAAGCAATATCACGGTGGGGGACACCAGAAATGGGCTTCACACATTGTACCCATGTGGGGTATCAAACCCGGGTCTTCGTCGTGACTAGCGAATGCTTTTACCACTAGGCTACCCCACCGCCCCTCGTTGCTGTGAATGCACAATGCCATTAAGAATGTGGTCAAATATAACATATGTTATATTTGGTATTATACTTTCTTAGTATCGTACAGATTCTGCCGTGCCAATTTACACTTATGAGAGGGGTACACAAAGTCTGTGGTGTTAGACTAACAAATGTCTGACTTCCATTTTTGTGGGAGCGGGTTAGGAGCTGACTTTGAGTGGTGGCGATTAGCTGCCTGACTCTGAGGGTGTGGGTTCAAATCCCAGATTGGACTCAACCCAACAAAACTACTAGAATCTGTACTTTACTAAGAAAGTATAATCCCAAATATAACATATGTTATATTCGTTAATGATAACATAAGGGCACTGCCTTTGATCTCAGAGCCAATAAAGATACAATTACCAATTCAAATTACAATTCAAATTACAATTGAAGCCAGAGCTTAGAAAATCCACAGTTAATAATAGCTCTAACCAATTTTCTCTACTGAGATGTCTCTAATACAGCTGCATATCAAACACTAGAATGGGTGGACATGCAAGGATGCACTACAGGAATCATTTCCAGGTGGTCACTGGTTAAAATTTCAAAATCAACTTTGATCCGAAGCTTGGTGCAACACTTAACATTCACTGCTTGGCAACTTCATTTGAAACTGAGGGTGGTAGAAAGGGAGGTAACTCTACCTTCATGTTGCTGGCCCACTCCTTGTACTTGGACTGAGTGTTGAGTTTGTCAGCGTGGAGCACAGCCTCCTTCTCAAACAGGTCATTGAAGCCTTCGCCACAGTTCAGGATTTCAAGGCGGCCATTGATGAACTGAATAAGGACAACATATGCCAAACAATCATAAAATGACGCTCTTTTCAAATCACTATTTCATTTCAAAATTATTGTAAATGGCTGTGATGTTTTCATTGTTGTTTAAAGCCGCACTCAGCAATATTTCAGCTACATGGCAGCAGGCTGTCAACAATCAAGTCTGGACCAGACAATCCAGTGATCAACATCATGAGCATTGATCTATGTAACTGAGATACAATGACGTGTCGACCAAGTCAGCTAGCCTGACCACCCGATCCCGTTAGTCACCTCTTACGACAAGCATGGGTTACTGAAGATCAATTCTATCACAGGTCTTCACGGGGGAGACAAGCATGGGTTGCTGAAGATCAATTCTATCACAGGTCACTCGGTATGAGTAGTAAGCAGTAGGCTGGATGACATCTCAAACATGGTGGTATGAACTAGTGTGGCACTATCATCATGAGAACAGACAAAATATATGTCTATTTGATGTAAAAACACTGCACTTTTAGGGTGTGCAAGGAACAGAACACCATATTCCTACCTGGCAGATGCTATTCACTTTACAACTCATTGTAAGATAAATGGTATCTAACAGACACTTGTGTAGGAATCACTATCTAAATTCCAGACATTAGGGCACCTGTTGGAAGATCTGTAGCTGGAGCATCTGCTGCAGGAACGCTTGCATGGAGGGAGTTGCACGTGATGTCACAAAAGCCTCAGGCTCAAATGTGATTGGCTCTCCTGTGTGGAACTTGAGGGCATCACGATATCCACCTTGACAATAAAACAGATAGTTCCTTGTTGTCTCTTACTGTAGGTTTATTTCACATGTAAGTATATTTCAGCATGTAAGTAAAAATTAATTATGTAATAATTGCATTTGTATTACTTTTGAATAAGGCTAAAACTATTAATATACAATTTATGAAACTCCAATCTATGATGGATCAACTTTAGCATGATCAGTTTTCCTTTCAAATACCAAATTACTTTGACTGGTGATTTTTATTTTTTATTTTTTTTCCCTCCTGCCTTCAGCTTTTCTGAGGACAAAAATCCATAAAACAAGAAATATAATTGGTCTGGCCTTATATGGGTTGTCAGATATGAAATCCAGTTGAAAAATAAATAGTCTAACAATACCTATGAGTCTGACGAGGGCATTGAGGAAGGCCCGTGAAATAGCATCCCCCGACTCCAGCATGGAACTCTTCACACGTTCCCCCTTCAGGTATTTCTTGAGGTAGGACAGCTGGAACATAACGAGTTCGTGAGGCAGGTATAATGGTTTCAGTCACATCAAAGTATAGCATGTATATGACTCAGGTCATTAATTTGATTAAAAGTGATTAATGAATTAATGAATAAGCTTTTGAAGCTTCACCCATTGTACCCATGTGGGGAATCAACCCGCCCCCTCAAGCATTCAGAACAGCATATCTAATTTCTCCCTCATGGTGACCAATGATTACAAGCAGCCTGACCAGCTGGTTGCTGCTGACCAGTTCTAACCCAGGGTCCCCTCTGTGCTCACCACTTCCTCCGGCAGGTCCTCGAGGTCGCTATATTCTGTCTGAACCGTATTCTTGTCAGCATCAACTATCACAGCATCACCTAGTTCTGATGGCCGTAATTTCTATGACAGAAAAAATAGTCTGGAATTGTCATGCTTTCAAACATAAGATACACAAAGGTAGGCATCGCTGTTGATAGAGATCATAGAGATTAATAATCGCTACATAAATAGCATTCGATTATTGGTAAATATCAGAGATGTAACCTGGAGCACAAATAGAAAAAAATGTCTGAATGAAATGAATATTTCCACATTACTGGTGAGTGGCGACATGTTTTCGCATGGATTACTAACAAAATAGCGCCCTGAACATAATTTAGAAGCAGACCATGAATAAAGTCCTAAATTGGTATATTGGGTGAGAAAATTCCAACTTTTTTCTATCACAAAAGTTAATGTACAAAATTGACAATAACACAATTTTCATATCAATAATCATTAATATTTTTTCCTATCGATGATATTTCCGATTAGTCAACCCAACTAAGCTAGGTCACTACACGTGCCCAATATATAGAGAAATGTAAACACATTTTTTCAAAATGAGCACCAAATTGTTTTGTATTTACTGTTTACCAAGCAGGGACCAATGAAATTCTTTTTGACATTTTTCTAACTTTCCTTTTGAGAAGTATATTAAAGTTTTTCATGAGCCTTGCACAGCTTTAGAGTAACTACTGACTGACTGACTGAGTTTAGTTTTACGCCGCTTTTAGCAATATTCCAGCAATATCACGGCGGGGGACACCAGAAATGGGCTTAACACATTGTGTCCATGTGGGGAATCGAACCCGGGTCTTCGACGTGACGAGCTAACGCTTTAACCACTAGGCTACCCCACCGCCCCTTTAGAGTAACTAACATATGCAGATGGTAAAAGGACTCTGCAGTACATCTAACAAGGTCATTCCTACAATCATGATGGCAGTTTCGGCTCTAAACATACCTTTGATCTGTGGTCTCTTCTCACATTTTTAGAAAATAACTAAGATAAAGGAAATGGTGACAAGTTTCTGTTTATAAAATAAAGAAAATTTTGAAAATGTGTGTTGATTTTTTGTCAATTTATATTTTCAAATACACATACAAATATACGGTGGAAGAGAGTCAACTTACGCCCATCAGAGTCGCGTGGACTCCTATCACATACGGCATGGGTGCTCTGAAACATCAGGTTAATAGGCTAAGTAATATTCTCACAGTCAGCAATATTACATGTCAGGCATAGAGATGCGCACTCTGATATATTACATATCAGGCATAGAGATGCGCACTCTGATATATTACATATCAGGCATAGAGATGCGCACTCTGATATATTACATGTCAGGCATAGAGATGCGCACTCTGATATATTACATATCAGGCATAGAGATGCGCACTCAGATTTATTACATATCAGGCATAGAGATGCACACTCTGATATATTACATATCAGGCATAGAGATGCACACTCTGATATATTACATGTCAGGCATAGAGATGCGCACTCAGATTTATTACATGTCAGGCATAGAGATGCGCACTCAGATTTATTACATATCAGGCATAGAGATGCACACTCTGATATATTACATGTCAGGCATAGAGATGCGCACTCAGATTTATTACATATCAGGCATAGAGATGAACACTCAAATATATTACATATCAGGCATAGAGATGCACACTCTGATATATTACATATCAGGCATAGAGATGCACACTCTGATATATTACATATCAGGCATAGAGATGCACACTCTGATATATTACATATCAGGCATAGAGATGCACACTCTGATATATTACATATCAGGCATAGAGATGAACACTCAGATATATTACATATCAGGCATAGAGATGCACACTCTGATATATTACATATCAGGCATAGAGATGCACACTCTGATATATTACATATCAGGCATAGAGATGCACACTCTGATATATTACATATCAGGCATAGAGATGCGCACTCAGATATATTACATATCAGGCATAGAGATGAACACTCAGATATATTACATATCAGGCATAGAGATGCACACTCTGATATATTACATATCAGGCATAGAGATGCACACTCTGATATATTATGTATCAGGCATAGAGATGCACACTCTGATATATTACATATCAGGCATAGAGATGCACACTCTGATATATTACATATCAGGCATAGAGATGCGCACTCAGATATATTACATATCAGGCATAGAGATGAACACTCAGATATATTACATATCAGGCATAGAGATGCACACTCTGATATATTACATATCAGGCATAGAGATGCACACTCTGATATATTACATATCAGGCATAGAGATGCACACTCTGATATATTACATATCAGGCATAGAGATGCACACTCAGCAATATTACATGTCAGGCATAGAGATACACACTCTGATATATTACATATCAGGCATAGAAATGCACACTCAGCAATATTACATGTCAGGCATAGAGATGCACACTCAGCAATATTACATGTCAGGCATAGAGATGCACACTCAGCAATATTACATGTCAGGGTGCCTATTCTCGATAGTGTCCCAGCTAAGACACATCCTAACTAGTTAGGACAGGAGTTAGGACATCCTACTGTTAGGATAAGACCCATTCTCGAAACGATCCTGTCTCTGTCCTAACTTGAGCTACCGAACCTAGCTAGGATAGCGAGCTCTTCAGAAGGTGAGATAGAAAAACATTAATTAAGTTGGGGATTCCCCTAAATATCACTTAGGAAATAAACAGGAGTTACTTTCCCCTATCAAGTTGGCCTTGACATTGAAATTTCACGGCTATGTGACAGTAAAGTTGTGATTAAAAAGGCCGAGAATAGGTAAGAACTGAACAAATCTCTTTTGTAGATCTAAAGAATATGTGCATTGCAACAAGTTATATTCATTACCGATACATTGATAATGTATACACAAAAAACTCTTCTTAACTCATCAAAACTGTGTGCTGTTGTAAATACAAATGTAATTTAGGTGAGTTATTTTGTTTGACAACATCAAACTTGGAGAACAAACAAGAACCACACCATGTTGACTTCCACTAAGATAGACTTAGGACAAGTCACAACCTATCCTAGTATTTGTCCTAAGTTAGGATATCCTAGCGCTAGGATATTTTTCGAGAATAAGGTAGGACACCTATCCCAGACCCTAGGAGGAAAGTTAGGATATCCTAGGGCTAGGATCCTTTCGAGAATAGGGGCCCAGGCATAGAGATGCACACTCAGCAATATAACATACAGGCATAGAGATGCACACTCAGCAATATTACATGTCAGGCATAGAGATGCACACTCTGATATATTACATATCAGGCATAGAGATGCGCACTCAGATATATTACATATCAGGCATAGAGATGCACACTCAGCAATATTACATATCAGGCATAGAGATGCACACTCTGATATATTACATATCAGGCATAGAGATGCACACTCAGCAATATTACATGTTAGGCATAGAGATGCACACTCTGATATATAACATATCAGGCATAGAGATGCACACACTGATATATTACATATCAGGCATAGAGATGCACACTCAGCAATATTACATATCAGGCATAGAGATGCACACTCTGATATATTACATATCAGGCATAGAGATGCACAGTCAACAATATTACATATCAGGCATAGAGATGCACATTCAGCAATATTACATGTCAGGCATAGAGATGCACACTCTGATATATAACATATCAGGCATAGAGATGCACACACTGATATATTACATATCAGGCATAGAGATGCACACTCAGCAATATGACATATCAGGCATAGAGATGCACACTCTGATATATTACATATCAGGCATAGAGATGCACAGTCAACAATATTACATGTCAGGCATAGAGATGCACACTCTGATATATATACATATCAGGCATAGAGATGCACACACTGATATATTACATATCAGGCATAGAGATGCACACTCAGCAATATTACATATCAGGCATAGAGATGCGCACTCTGATATATTACATATCAGGCATAGAGATGCACAGTCAACAATATTACATGTCAGGCATAGAGATGCACACTCTGATATATTACATATCAGGCATAGAGATGCACAGTCAACAATATTACATGTCAGGCATAGAGATGCACACTCAGCAATATCACATATCAGATTATAGAGATGCACAGTCAGCAATAATACATGTCAGCGCTATAGCAAGGGAATACAGATGTTGGTTTATGCTACAAATGACTGTTATAGACGACTTACGAGGCATAATCTATAAGATGGGCAGGTAATACAGGTATGAACAGGTACTGCCTGAAACAGAAGCATGTCAATCTTTACTTAAAAATCACAAACATAAAAAATGTAATTTTTAGAGTAAAATTGATATTTTATACTTATCCTGACTCATGCTCTTTTGCTTGTCTTCTTCTTCTTGCGAACATAGTGGAACACTTGTATCTCCTTATTTGAAGCTCCCTTCAAAATAAAATCACTAATTGGTACTCACCACGAGTTGCTCCCCTTTGTCTCCCCTGGCGGGAAAGGTGTCGCCACCCTCTGGCCATGTGCTCCACTCTCTCCTGATTTAGCGAGCCCAACACTTGAATTTACAGGGAAATCCAAAGTGTTATGTGGGGAGGATGGGAGGGCTAACCTCATGAGTCAGGATAAGTATAAAATATCAATTTTACTCTAAAAATTACATATTTTTCCTTATCCTGACTCATGCTCTCTTGTAGCATCCTATGGAACGGAGGTGGGTAACAGAATACTTTGGATTTATAATTAGTGATTTTGTATAGATATACTGTAATATCCCCTACGGGAACTTCATGAAGTCTTAGATTTAGGATGTTTCCTGTATAAAGAAACCATAGGTTATATAAAGCCATTAAAGGGGAATTACATTATGAATATATTGAACAATACATATAAAATTATATATATATATATAGGTGACTCTGATAGAGGCACTGAAATTGACTATACCAAAGTATATGCTTAAGGTTGAATACTTAAGCTGAACATATATACATAGCCCTAAAACTCCGTAGAGTTATAAGCTAGATGAGTATGTATAAAATACATATTAATCTTGTGAGGATAATATTTTAAGCCCTCACGAGGGACTGTCAGTTGCTGGCCGAGGACCAGTGGTCGAAATGGTGAATGCCAGAGACATCTTCTGTAGTGATGTCTCTTAGGTAGTGATTAGCAAATACCATGTTAGATTTCCAATAGCATCCTTCCATAACGTGTTCAAGGAACAGTTACCGTGTAGAGGCGAGGGTAGAGGCCAGTGCCCTGATCTCATGTGGATTTGATGCTGTTGGTGGGTCCAAGCCTGCTGCCTTGTAGGCACGGAGAATGACAGTCCTTATCCAAATAGATATTGTGGTCCATTGACACTTCTGTTTGATTAAGTAGGCGATAAGGGGATGAATAAGCGTTTGAAATCTTCTCCTTGTTTTGGATCGTCAGTAAATAAACTTTTGAGCTCTTACGGACACAGTGATAGGTCTTGTGTATCTTGTGATCGAGAATAGAGGATAAGCCGGGATGTGGAATAATCTGTCTGGTTGACCTGGCAGTTGATTTTTTTCGATGAAATCCCATCTTAATCCGAGGAGTGCGCTGTGTTATGATTGTCATCAAACTGTATCCTCTCGTAATCCAGAGCGTGAATTTCAGACATTCTTGCTGCTGTGGCTAGCGATAGCAGAAACAGTGTTTTCTGTGAGAGAAATTCAAAGTTTGTCGATTCCAAAGGTTCATAGACCTCACTTTCGTGAGGTGTTGTAACACTACATTCAGATCCCAAGCTGGAAGTGGAACTTCGCTTTGGTCCTCAATCGGAAAGCTCGTAGTAAGGCCAGTAACTCTGGAGATCTTGTCAATTTGACACCCGTTCTCATGGTGATTACAGAACTAAAGCGGCAAGATATGTTGATATCGTTGAACCTTTTAAATGTTTGTTTTGGCGTAGGTAACACAAATAGTCTGCCACTTGAGGTTGTGAAGCCTCTCTTGCTGTAAACCCTTTCTTTGTTGCATAATTTTTGAAACTGTGCCACTTGTAAGTGCATTACAAGTTACGAGTTGAATAGCGTAAGGCAAAGCGTGACTGCTTTTGCAGCCCTGGCAGAATATCCTCTCTTGTTTAAACACATTTGTATACAGTCCATACGTGTAGTTGGAACATTGCTGGGTTTCCGTGCACTTGTTTGGTGTGAGGATGAATTAACAGGTTTCGGCAGCAGGTAGCTCCAGTGTTGGTTGACCGATTTCTTGAATTAGTATGGGAAACCACGTTCTGGCCGACCAGTAGAGCTGACAAAGTGAGTTGTAGGCTCTGTGTTTGTCTGATTTTCTGTAATACTTGAGGTATTATTGCTGGCGTGAACGGCGATGCGCATTGAGGCCTTCCATGATAGACTTAGGCGTCCGTTGCCCAAGCTTGGCGGTCTGGGACTGGTGACACGAATGTCGGTAGCTGATTGTTGAATCGTGGCGAATAGATCTAATAGCGGCTCCTAATTGCTTGATTATCTGTGCAAAAATTTCCCTGTTGATCATCCACTCTGTCGGTGATGGTAGATGAGGCGAGAAGAGCGTCTGCTAGTATATTTCTGGCTCGGGAATGTGCACTGCTCTGACATGTAGATTTAGATCTTGTATTAAATCGAACAGTTGAAAGCTTAGGTTCAAAAGGTTCATCGATCTCGTTGAGCCTTGCTTGTTTATGTAGAAGCGCCACTGTCGAATTGTCTGTATGGATCATTAAGTAGCATTTTGTAGAAATGTGCTCCAATGTAGAATGGCGTTGATTACAGCTTTCATTTCTAGACTGTTTATATGGAGTTTGCATTCTTGCTGATTCCATAACCCTGATATCGTGTGGTTGGTGAGATGAGCTCCCCAACCTTGGAGTAACGTCTATCTACATACAGATGGGTTTTGTATTCCTGCTCTGCTAAACAAATCCCTTCGCAGACATTCGATTTCTTGGTCCACCATAGTAGATCGCGGTCTGAGATGTTTGGTAGACTGAATGGTTGTACATCGTTGAGATGTCGTTGATGAGACCTGTAGGGGCGTAACTGTAATCTGCCTGTGACAGTCATGTCTTGGGCTGATGTGAGAAGACCTAGTAGGCTCTGCCATTATCGCGAGTGGTAGCGGAGAGAGTAGAGCTGGTGGAATGGTCTGCTGTATCTTGAGCCAACGGTCTTCTGGTACCATAATACGGTTCGCGATTTGTGATGAATCGAATACCTAGGAACTGCAGGTCTTGGGATGGTACTAGGTCCGACTTGCGTAAGTTTACTTACCAACCTAGTTGTGTTAGTAGCTTTATGATGTAATTTAACTGTAGTTTGAGCGCAGTGGATCTTGATCTACTTGTATCCGTCGTCGAGGTAAAGCGCTCGCGTAAGCCCTTGACGATGTAGAAATTTGATAATCGGTTTTCGTTATCCTCGTGAATAGCCAGGGGGCTGATGATATTCGAATGGGAAGTACTTTCCACTGGTAATGTAGCCCTTCTAGAGAGTAAATCGTAGGTATTTCCTGGAATCGGGATGAATGGGGATGTGCAGGTAGGCATCCTGTAGATCTATGCTGCCCCATGTAGTCCATAGGGCCGAATCATCTGGCGTAACTGAGGTAAATGTATCATCTTGAGAAACCCGGTGGTTTGCGTAGATAGTTCTTGTTGAAAAAGCTCATGTTGTAGATGAGTCTGTATTTCTCCGTGGAGTTTTTTCTTGGGAACTAGGAAAACTGGGGAGTAGAAACCTGGTTCGGACGTTTGCTTGATCTATTACTTCTATGGCCTGTTTGGATAGGAGTGATGAAACAGCCTCTCTTATCTTTGGTAGTTGTTAGCTTGTAAATGTCGAACTTGGGGGTTTGATTGTCAGCGGAGGCTTGGCCTGTAGAGGGATCTGAAATCCGTGTTGAAGAATGTTGGAGGCGTAAGGGTCTTGCAATATTCCCCAGTTTTCCCAGTGTAGTTGGGCGTCCACCCACTTGAGCTGGCTGTACTGGAGCGGCTGGGGGTGGAAGACTCCAGTCGTTCGAACCTGTGTTTCAGCGTCTATAATTGCGGGAACCTCTGGGTGTCCTGCCTCTTCCTGATCCTCCTCTATAGTTGCCATATAGGCGTGACGAAAAGAATCTTTACCTCTAGAGCTGGCTATCTTCCTGTCTCTTGCTCTTTGTAGGCCCGTGAACTTAGATCTGCCTGAGTATCTTTGTGAAGTCTGACGAATGGCGCTGGCTAGTGTGTCCATCGATCTAATCATAAGGACTTCCCTGGAATCCTTAGAGACTTCCTTGGCGACTTTTGTCGATTTCTCCGTCAAAGATGGATGCAACCCACCACGAGGGCTGTATAAAGTGGGGCTGTAAAGTTCTCCCCAATTACAGGAGGCTGAGGAGGCCTTGACTGACGAGCTAAGGTCAGTGCTGCTGAAACAGATGTAAGATGATCCGTTAAAACTGCTGATCTTTCTTTTGCATAAGTAAGGCAGAATAAATCATTCTATCATCTTCCGTCGTGGAATCCCGAATCTAGTAATAAGAGTCTCATTGATCGTCCTAGATCTATTTAACCCAAAGAACATATGTCGTCATGGTTTCTATATGAGCCAACTTGCGATCATCCATCTTGTAAATCTTGTTCTTTACATCGCTGATGATCTTATAGTTCTCATCGATGTCCTGGGCCTTGTAGAAGGAGTCCATGTTATGCGTGGAGAACTTCTTGGCTTGAAAGTTGGGCAGATGTGGTATCTGAACTTTCGTAGCTTTCTGGAAAGCTGCATCTAGATTCTGTGGCACTGCCTTAATCGGGTCGATCGGGGGTAGAGTGATTGCATCTGGATCATCTTCCTTCATCAAATACGTCTGAGCTGTATTGCCACTTTTAGATGGTGATGTGAGATCTAGGTTATTGACCATCCAATACCGTATCTCTGCATCAGAAAATATGATTCCTCCATCATCCTCAAAACCATCATCATCAACAAATTGTAGATGCTCTTGAGGGACTGCGTGTAGCTGTCTGTATATCTGATGAGGTTTGTGGCGATCTAGTTGACTTGTGCGCCGCTCTATGTGGAGATCTGGACGGTGATCGGCCTGGTGATGAAGCGAAGTGGAGATCGTCTATGGGATGATCTTCGGAGACTTGTGTTGATAACTTCGAAGCTCTTCGGCAGTCCCTCGATGTTCTTCTAGATGATGAGGATCTGGAATCATATGTCCTCGCTAATGCTACTGCCAGCCGAAGCTTCATTTAGCCCGTC